TCAAAACTAGTGACTAAAATATTCAAAAAAATCTCTGTTTCACCTAAACAAGAAAAAAGTAAAAAAGAAGTAGTGAATTTTCATTTTGATATACAGTGAGTGTGTTCTTTCTTTTGCTGTATGTTTTGGACGTTTGTGAGTAAGCACTTATTATTATTTTCCAAGTCCTAATTATATTTCATCACTGCCATGTTCTTTACCGATATAATTACATCATCGTCACATGCATCTTTTTATTTCTAAATAAAATAAAACTACGAAACCTAATCGTCTCATTAATCACAAAGCAAAAGAGTTTAAGTAAACACACTATAAAGACAGAACTAAACTAAAGCTATGGATTTGTCTTCCAAACCAAAACAACGACTTACAAACTCTCTTTCCCTCGCCGGAGAACTAACCGTCGCCGGAGAAATGGGTGTTTGTTACAAAGAGTGTTTGAAAAACCACGCGGCTAATCTCGGCGGTCATGCTCTCGACGGTTGCGGCGAGTTTATGCCGAGTCCCACCGCTACTTCCACCGATCCTTCTTCTCTCCGTTGCGCCGCTTGTGGCTGCCACCGTAACTTCCACCGGCGTGACCCTTCCGAGAATCTCAACTTCCTCACCGCGCCGCCGATTTCTTCTCCCTCCGGCACTGAGTCGCCGCCGTCTCGTCACGTGTCTTCCCCTGTTCCTTGCTCTTACTACACCTCAGCTCCTCCACATCACGTGATTCTCTCTCTCAGCTCCGGTTTCCCTGGACCTTCAGATCAAGATCCAACGGTGTTTAGGTCAGAGAACAGCTCAAGAGGAGCAACGAGGAAACGAACAAGAACCAAATTCACGCCGGAGCAGAAGATCAAGATGAGAGCGTTCGCTGAGAAAGCTGGTTGGAAAATCAACGGCTGTGATGAAAAGTCTGTGAGAGAGTTTTGTAACGAAGTTGGGATTGAGAGAGGAGTTCTTAAAGTGTGGATGCATAACAACAAGTACTCACTTCTCAATGGCAAGATCAGAGAGATCGAACATGGTCTGTGTCTGAACACTACTCACAGCTGTAACAATGATGGTGATGGGTCTTCGTCTTCTTGAAGAAAGATTCAAGATTGGGTTAAACCGAATTAGGATACTTTGATTTGGGAAAATATGAGCATTAACCGGTTTTAAATCTTATGATAGTGTTTTTTCTCTAACATATATTTATGCAGTTTGATCTTTTCTGTTTCCACTTTGACAGAGATGAGGTCAGAGATCATAAATGGGTTTGGTAATAAATAAGTTTTTAAATCGGAGGTTAAAACGAAATTTGATAGAGCATTTCTAATTATAGTAAGTGCATAATCGCTAATTGTGATCGTGGAAATCAAAAGATTCGTTTTATTTGTTTACTTTGCTATTATTCTATGTTATCTTCTGTATTATTAGAAATAATCTCCTGAACTTTATAGAAAGAGTAAGTAAAGTTTGCTTAATGAAGATACGACGACTTGGTTATTAAGAATTGCAACAAACTATGTCGTGGCGGAATATAATTAGGTCATCTGGGCGGCACATTTTGTTAATTATCTGTATACTATATGATATGATTAAAAGTTATTAAAATGCGGGCTTATCTCTTTCCATTTAGGGATAAGCTTTGGCAACGACAACCTTGCTTATTTATCCTAATTAAGAATAATACAGATGTTACGATTATTAAAATATCTACTCTGTCTCTGTGCAAAGATTTGGCTCTGTCCACACCGCTAATATTAATAACTCATTTATTCTTTTTTCATACAAAAATTCTACATGTATTAGCGAATCATAGCGAATGCTTTATCACGTATAAATGGTCTTAAGTTCAATGCTGGTGACAAAAATATTTCACCGAATAGGTACGAAGTAACGAAGCCCAAGCCTTAACAAAAGACAAGCCGGTACGATCCATCACCCATGCCAGACAGATCAATGTATGCCAAAAGCACTATGTAGATATGACTATATGATAAAGTAACTGCATATGGTCTACACTATGTTTGTATTATCATTTGCGGGTAAAATAATATACATGAAAGATCGGTGTTTGATTAACGTAGGATGATATGAAAATTTTGTATGCTACTAATTAACATTCCAATTGGATAGTCATTAAAAAAAAAAAAAATTCCAATTGGACAATATTCCAACATCTCATAATTTTTAGATGTTATTGGTCCGATGAATGAATGTAGATATCAAATTCTTATATCAAATATACACAACTCGAAGACATGTTATAGAACGATAAATAACAACGCAAATTAGACACTAAAACCCCAAAAAATAAAATAGCAATGAATAGTATTCTTTCGAGTTAACAATGAAAAAGGTTTATGCGCCGCATCAGTATTAATATTAGTGATATATTTAACAACATACAGTAAAACCTTTATAAATTATTTTTTTTTGTCATCAAAAAAAAAAAAATTAATACAGTTGGGACTATGATATTTTATTAATTTATCGAGTTATTGATTTATCGATATACTAATTACTTCGAAAACTAAATTTGGGACCAAAGAAATGTATTGATTTATCGAGGTATTAATTTATAGAGGTTATATACTGTATAAAATTTATTATTATTTTGTTGGTACGTAGTTAAGTACTAAGTAGCAACATATTATTGGCGTAAATTTCGATGTTATATAGTTCTGATAAATTTGATATGTCAAAAAACTTTAGAATCTCAAATAATCAATAACCCTGCAAAATAACTTAGAAGAAAATTTCAAATGATAGTCCATTACTTCTTTCTGTTGGAACTGCAGAAAGAAAAATATTTCAAAAGTCCATTATTTATAGTTAAGCCCATTACAGCTATTTCTCAGACTAGACCCAATAATAACACACTAAAGAGTACAGACATTAATCGAACTTAAGTATTAGGGAGACTTGAAAAGGTAAACCGTCAAAGTACTAGAATACAAGTCGAAGATGAGAATCCGGTTCAGTGGGGATCTTGCATCCGGAGTCGGAGCAGCTCATGAAAATTTGAAAACTCATCATGAAATCTATCTAGTTTTGGATCGGCCATAAGATATGGACATAGATAAGTTAATCACCACATGGAACATGTTTATCATCTATCTAGTTTTGTATTAGTGTATGAGTACTGTATGCCAAATGAATAAATGATTATCAAGACAAGTCTTCTTTGATTTGGAGATGTATACGACTGTGATCAAATTAAACATGCACCAATTACACTTTACCAAATCTATTTTCCATTTTTTTACAAAATCTCAACTATCCTACATTAAAAGAGGATGGGATACGTCAGCATCAGTGTCTGGTCCAGATTTATTGAGACACGTGTAGCCTTGCATCTCTATTGCACGTTGAAAATGAAACGAAAAATGATTATTAATTGGCTTAACACCTGGCGAAAAAAAAAAAAACACCTAAAGGAAAAGGACCAATAAACGATCGCACTCGAAATTAAAAAAGGAATTTTCAATATCAACATAACATGAGCATCTGCCAAATACTCTCCTACATTGTCAATCAATTTTGTTTTCGGACCGTGACTTGGCCATTTTGGACGGTCGAAGGCCAATCTCTCACGCGACTATCTACACATATACGAACCCATTCTTACACCTACAAGGATACAAGTGTTCACTAGAAGCTACACAACATGAAATTGCTGATATCTTTTGATGGTCACCGCCCATAGGCAATTAGGCATATGTATATTCAGGTCTCGGCTGTGATCCGATCCTACCCTACTCGATTTATAATATATTTTCTATATAATAAAATATAAAATATTTATTTGTTAGGATCAAAATAATTTATTTAAAAAGTAATTATCTAAATAGTTATGAATTGCTAGTTAGTTATCTTTAATATTCGAACTACCCAATTGAATATTGAAATTTAAAAAATGACTCAAATCCGAATTTTACTCGTTGGAGACTTGGAGTAGTGATTTTTAATTTCTAAATATTTTTTACCCGCTTGGTATCCGATATCATCCTATTTTTGGTTTGTTCACCCAAACTTACAATCTGCAATTTTAGAAAAGAAATTAGGTTAAAAGATGATTTTAAGTAAAGAAAATCTCATGTTTGACCAATAAAACAATTAAAGAAAATCTCAGATTATGACTTTTTAAAAGATGATATTTTTCTTTTCTAACCAAGTGTTCTTGGTCTAGTGGTTGCCACTTGTGGAGGAGTTGCCCTGTTGGTCTAGGCCAGGGATCGATTCCCCGCAAGCGCGCAATTGCTAGATCTCCACTTGGCCACTGCGCAATTTACCTGCGGGGCGCAGCGTCCCAGACCACCAGTTCCGGGGGGCCCTTAAGTGGAGGCTTAAAAATCCCAGGCACGCGGGCTTAGGCCCAGTGGGCTAGTCGGATCACTGTGTGGTCTGGACACTGGGTTATAAAAAAAAAAAATATTTTTCTTTTCTGACAAAAAAATAACAAAAGAGCTGATTCATTAATTAAATGAAACAGTTGAAACTCCAAGAAAAAAAGGGCAAGTGAACCAATGAATGTTTGAAGCAAAGTGACAAATGGAGAAGAACCCGAAAAGCAATGTAAACTTTGACTCTTTGAGTTCTCCCACGTCGAACCATGTCCGTTCTCCAATACAAAGTAAGAAAAAAAGTTTCATTACAGTTATTCGAATAATTTTAATTCAAAATCCTAATGTTTTGATATCAATATTCATTTTTTTCCCCGAGGAAAAAAAAACTTTATTCTCTTCTTCCTTTCGGACATCTTAAGCACAAGCCAATTTTCATATGATAAAAACAAAAAAATCAAAAAGAAGAAGGAAAAATTCAAAATTTAATGAGAAAGCGAAATATCACACCTTGGGCTTGGAGAGATATATAAAGAAGAGTTGTGTAAGAGTGAAATAATTTCCCATCCACAAATCTCGCACCTGATTCCATAAATTGATCAGTTTTTTTCTTTTCTTTCTTCAACGCATATCTAGTGACTCTGTACACTTTCTATGTCCGAATTCGTTTCTCCAATAGTAAAAGATTTTGACAAAAATTTTGGAATTTTCTTGGAGAGAAAAAATCATTAAAACACTAATCATGTGTAAACCCTTGAAGACGTTTTGTGTATTACTTTAACGCGTTGAAATTAACGATGATGGGAATTGTTACGACGAAGACTTATACTAACTTCGATTTCTCCAATAAAGGTTTTGGTGTTGGTGGTTTGAAACAGTTTGTGTACGGTAATACTTTCATAGTTCTCGATGCTTTCTGGGTTTCTTTCTCTAATCTCTTCTTCTTCAGGTAAACGTTTTTGCTTCTTCTTCATTCTTCTTTGTTCTCTGTTTTTTTTTTTTTTTACTTATCGATTAATGGGTTTGTTTTATTTAGAGTTGATTCAGACAAAGAGACAAGTTTGGTCGTGTTCGAGAAACAGAACACAAACGGTTCCTCTGTTTACGGAGATTATCAAGATCAAAAGCAAATATGTGGAACACAAGACGATGATCAGATGGAAAGTTCTCTGGTTTCGATTAGCAAGAGATGCGAGTTTTATTCCGACAACAAAAGTATTGTTGGTTTTGTAGAAGAACCTCAAGCGTTTAGCTTTAAGTTTCATGAGTACTCTGCTAGTACTGTTCAGGAGGAGGAGAAGAAGAAGATGGTGAGTTTCTCTGATGAAAACACGAGTTCCACGGTTTTGGAGAAATCAGAATCAGAGGAGGAACACGTGAAAGAAGAGATGTTGGTTTATGAGTTCATGAGTTGTGGTGTTTTAAAAGAATCATTAGTTCACGAGAATTTTGTTGGTGGTGAAGAAAACTTGTTTGATGATGATGAAGATGGGTTTATAGAACTAAACCCAAGTTTACAGATTTCTAACTTTTCTTATGGAGAAGAAGAGGAAGAAGAAGAGTTTATGCAGAGAGAAGAAGAGATGAAAATGGGTTTTGATGAACAAGAAGAGGTATATGATGAGTTTGATGATGGTTCAGATTCAGATGATGATGAGTTTGAGCATAGTGATGTGATTGAGAAGTTGAAAACGGAACTAAGGATCGCAAGAACAGGAGGATTGTGCACTATTCTTGAGGAATCAGAGACTCCATTAGAAGAGCTGAAACCACTCAAGATCGAACCAAAACCAGATCAGCACAAAGACAGAATTGCTGAGATTCACAAGGTTTACAAGAACTATGCGGTTAAAATGCGAAAACTCGATGTCATCGATTCTCAAACAATGCATTCCATCAGTAAGTCTATCTCTTCTCAGTTCTCAATTCACAAGTTTTAATTTTTAATCAATGTTGTTAGCAGAGTGTGACATCATTAGCAATGACATATCTTCAGAGTCTTAAATTTTTGTCTGATTCCAGCTTTTACTTTGATTGTGAGGACAGATTGTTGAAGAATGTCTCTTTCCTTCTTTAATGTTGTCTCAACTACTCAAAAGTACAATATTTGTTAGTGGGGTCTATAGTTAACATTTTGGATTTCATTTAACAGGTTTGCTTAAGTTAAAAGATTCATCTAAACCGAGCAGAAACATCGTTAAACCGCCTAAATCGTCTCTGCATCAGAATATATGGCCATTCAAGAAACATAAGCTTGAATGTGACCCGATTGAGAGACTTGTGAAAGAAGCAAGCAGAGACTTTGAGACTGTCTATGTAGGCCAAGTTTGTCTCTCGTGGGAGATGCTTCGATGGCAATACGACAAAGTCTTGGAATTTGATTCTCAGGTTACTACTTATCAATACAATTTAGTAGCTGGAGAGTTTCAACTATTCCAAGTTCTGCTTCAACGGTTTGTGGAGAATGAACCGTTTCAAAACTCCTCTAGAGTTGAGACTTACTTAAAGAACCGTCGCCATTTCCATAATTTTCTTCAGATTCCACTTGTTAAAGGTAACAAAACATGTTTTCATTATTCTTCAGTTTGTACTGAACCTTTCTTTTGTGCTAATACCAAAATCTGCAATGTTTTCAGATGACCGTTCCTCAAAGACTAACAAGAAATGTAGAAACGAAGGGGAATTCGCGGTAAAGATTGAAATGTTGAGAGAGATTATCCGAGAATCCATGAGTGTTTTTTGGGAGTTTCTTTGTGCAGACAAAGACGAGTTTACTTCAATAATGAAAGTTTCTCACCAAACTCAAGTCTCTCCACAAGATCCTCTAGACCTTGAGCTCTTGACAGATATCAGAACTGATCTCCAAAAGGTATTTACGTTATTCAATTTCCCGCTCTCATTTTGTCAGATTACATCAGTGTTTAATAATTCACTCAAGAACATGTTCTTGGTCTAATGTAGAAGGAGAAGAAGCTAAAGGAAATATTGAGAAGCCAAAGCTGTATAGTGATGAAGTTAAAGAAGAATGAGTCAAAGAGTAATGTTGGTGTGAAGGATGAGTTACTAATAGCTCAAATCGAACTGAGACTGGTTTCAAGAGTGATGAACATGTCGAAACTTACCACCGAGAAGTTAGTTTGGTGTAGGGAGAAACTTGATAGGATCAGCTTCAACGGTCGGAAGATTCACATTGAACCATGTTTCTCATTGTTACCTTGTTGAGCCATCTCTGCCTATAGATTAGATCATAGATATTGGAATATTATGGCTTCAGATCCGGGAAGATGTCTTTTTGTTGTTGTTCCTGAGAACAAAATATATATCTAGTGATGATATATATAGTAGCTTAGTGTATTATTAATCCAATATCAATAGAAAAAACCACAAAAGAAAAAAAGATAATTCATACTTTGATAATCACAAAGACAGATATGAAGTTGCAAGCACGGAAACGACATTGTGTCCCGCTTTTACTCTGTTCTACAACGAATGATTCGCCTTGTCCCAGGGTGTACATTTTCATTGTGCTAATGGTAATGTCAAGAACATGGACAAGTGTAGTGTTAACTTTGATTAGCATTTTAAAATCACCTCAAAAACTTCATAAGTACCAGAACCAAAGTTAATCAACATTTGTAACATGAACATGAATCTTCAATACAAGGACCTGAACCACACACTGAACTGAAGTAGAAATGTGTTCTCTGATTCATCAAACCTTATAACATTCGATAACTGGGCCATAGGCCGAGTCATATTGGGCTTAATAATACCTAAAAAGCCCATAAAATCTCGTCCGTTGATGATCATAATTCACGATGTAATCTGAACCGTCCGATCTAGGGCTTAAGGTGTTGAAGTGAAAGAAGTCCCTATATAAATATAATCTAGCTTAGAAAGTCACTTCTCTGCTCCGTCAAGCTGAGGAGGATAAAACCCTAGGGTGAGTGAGAGAGAGAGAAGCGAAAATGGTGCAGCGTCTTGTTTACCGATCACGTCACAGTTACGCCACCAAATCAAACCAGCACCGGATTGTCAAAACTCCAGGTTTGTTTCTTCATCTTCTTCAATCTATCAGCTGAAATCACAAATCTGTATCCATCGATCTATAAGATTTGAAATGTATTTGTATATTGATGATTGTGTGGATGTGCAGGAGGTAAATTGACGTATCAGACCACTAAGAAGAGAGCTAGTGGACCTAAATGTCCCGTTACCGGCAAGCGTATTCAGGGTGTAAGTAGACTTCTGATTCATATCTCTCTGATTCGATTTGGTACTTGTTGAGCTTAAAGTTGTCTCCTTTGTTTGATTTTGGATTGACCCATTGTCTTGATTGATGGAAATGTAGTAGTTTAGGTTGATTTGTTTGTGCTTATTGACGGTCTTGTGCTGGTTAGATGAATTCAACATCAGTAGATAACTTTATCATAAGCTAAATTTAGTGCCGCTTTGTCTCTTTCAAGTTTTCTCTAATGACTAATGAGTCTTCTTTAATCTTGGTGGCAGAAATGTTAAATCATCTTGAAAACTTTTCACTATGTGTAGATATGTTTGTTTTGCAATCTTGATGGTATTAGTTTGGATTTTGTATTGTATTGATTGTTTCTTGTGCTTATTGACGGTCTTGTGCTGGTTAAGATGAATCCACATCAGTACATAACTTTATCATAAGCTAAATTTAGTGCCGCCTTGTTTTTAAGTTTCTCCTTTTGTATGTAAGGAATCACTTCTATACTTGGTGGCAGAAATCTTAAATAATCTTGCAAATTGTTCATAGTTTGGTAGATGTAGTTGTGTCTGCCTTTTCCTTCATCATCTAACTTGTATTTCTTTGGTTGTTTAGATCCCTCACTTGAGGCCATCTGAGTACAAGAGGTCTCGTTTATCAAGAAACAGGAGGACCGTGAACCGTGCTTATGGTGGGGTTTTGTCTGGTTCTGCTGTTAGGGAAAGGTTTGTTCTTGAGCTCAATTTTGTCTTTATTGTGTGGCCTTGTAACCAAAGTCAAAATCTGATGGTGGTTCTTGTGTTACAGAATCATTCGTGCTTTCCTTGTGGAGGAGCAAAAGATTGTGAAGAAGGTTTTGAAGCTTCAAAAGGCAAAGGAAAAGGTTGCTCCCAAGAGCTAGACCCTATTAGTTTTTATGTTTTATGGCTCTGTTCTAGCAATAGTACTGGTTGCAGAGAAAAAACATTGTGTACTCATCAAAAATTTTAAGCTTTTTTGTATTGGTTTCGGATCTTTGGCTCTGTCGACAATTCGTTTTCGATTTTGGTTTCTTGTTCATGTTGAGTTCACAACTTCAATTTTTCACGTTTCTATTCTCTTACCCCCGAAGCTTCCTATTGATACTCATGTTATCTAGTTTGAGTTGAAAACTTTTTACAGTTTCATTCAGCTCCTGCAATACTAAAGAAGAAAGCACTAGCATTCTCTCTTAACAACTTCTAAAGCATATCTTAGCCGCATATATTAACCACGGTGGAGTGATACTGATTGATTTGAGCCAAAAATATGATTCTTTTACGAAATAGAACACTTCAATATTATCACAAACTAAGAGAAAACAAAGAATTCATAATTAAGTAAGTACTGAGAAATTCATAATCAAGTACTGAGAGACTGGTGTTCAAAAAAAAAAAAAAAGTACTGAGAGACAACCTTGCACGTTTATTGGTGATGACTATGAAGGTCATCAGAGAACGACAACTTTGCATGGTGTAGAGAGTCTTGGAATGGCAAGGAGTTCTTTTAGGATGACGGATTCTTCTTTCTTTACGGAATCATCAAAGCATAGGGTCAGTTTCTTGAGGATTGTTGAATTCTCAAGTAAGTAACTCACTAGTTTCATCTCCATCGCATCTCCTTTCAATGGCCTTTCTATCTTAACATACTCGAGCGATGATAGGAAACGCCGAGGTCCAGACAAAATAATATTTCCTTGCTTCTCCTTATATCTACTAGATTTCTGCACAACATACCAAGGGAACGAAACACAAGTTGAATATGATATAATTTCACCATTTGCATCTTAAGATAAGAAGTTCATGGTTCAATAGACAATCCTCACCACGACAAGAGTTTTTAGATTCGGGCAGCTCTCAAGAAAGATTGGCAACATTTCCCACCTGTAGCCGCAAAACTCAACACACAAGACAGATAGGTTACGGAATAAGGGTAGTCGTTCACATCTTGAAAAATCATAGATAACCTGTAAGGAAAAAACAAGTATCAGGAAAGAATAAAGTTACACATTCAGATAGCAAATTCAACATTGTAGTGTACCTCAAGAGTACTCGAAGAAATGATCATATCTTTGACAGTAGAGATCCCAACGAGAAAATTACGTATCATAGTTCTTTTTGGTAGATCATCTGGATTGAACTTTTCGGAAGACAAGTTAAACACAATATCGATATCCGCTTCAACAAGCTTGCCCGGTTTATTTAGTATAAAACTCGCAACTCTATGATCACTGAGCCTTAGATACTCAAGCTTAGGAGCATCAATTGCAACCACAAGATCTTCAACCACACCCTCATCACTATCCGCAACATGAGTAAAGCTCAACAAAGACTGAGACCGCACACGTAAAACTTCAATATCATCACAAAAACACCTCTCAATAATCAAGCTTTCAAGAACAGGGCATTTCGTAATCAGCGTTTCTAACGCCAAATCGTCAGCAAACTTAGCTATAAGCAGAGCCATAACTTTGAGTGAAGGTAAAGAAACAAACTTGGGACTAGGTAAAGTTAATGCACAAAGCTTTAAAGATACCAAACTCTCACAAGTGTAAATGCTTGAAGGCAACTGAATCTCCCAACTACCATAAGAATCATCCAAAACATCGATATGTTTAACATTACGCGTAACGATAGTGTTGATCCAACGTCCGATAATAGATATCTCAGGCTCATAATCATCATCATCATAATCATACTTCAACATAAAGTTTTGTAAGCATGATTCAGTGTTGAAATCAAGAAAGCTATCAACAAAATTCAAGAATGTGTTGAACTCTTGGAAATCAGAATTGTCTAGGTCTAAACCAGGTACATGTTTCCAGAGATTTCTCCATCTAGTGGATAGAACACTAGTCTTAACAACATCTTTTGTGGGAAGATTCAAGAGTACCTCACATAGCAAACAATCTGGTAATTTGCTTATCCAATCAACTTCATCAGATCCTTTCGCACGAACATGTTTCTCTCTATCTTCATCCATGAAAGGTAAAAAATATCGAAGTGATAAGAAACCCTCAAAAACTTAGAGAGTATCGATCGACAGATACAAAAAAATCGTGTCAACAGTGAAATACGACACCGTTTTAAAGTATGGATCGCATTGTATTTGTTAACGGGCCTAATGGGCTTTGGAGAAATAAGAATATAAAGGAAACACATTAATTTGATGAAATAAGAATCGAAAAAAGCAGAGCATTGAACAAAAAGAAAACTTGGAGATGTAATATATGGGTGTTGTGTCATCTCCCAGAAACGATGAGTTTGATGAAGAGATTATGTAGTTGTTGATGAACTTTGGGATCTGATGTGGTTGTGTTTCTTGTGGGACAAGCAAGAGGCTTCGCAGGTACTGTTAGTGTGTAGACACTGCTAACGAGTAGCAAAGAATTGTTCCATGTGGTAATCTAACATGTGGAGGAGTATTAATGTTCACATGAATACATGATCATGACTCATATTCATCAAACGGTAGTAGCAAGAGCATGCACTAAACTAGATGGCTTATCGGTTGTAAAGACAATGTCAACCCACTCTAGCATCCCCCAAATCTCGTCGTTTTTGCGTTTTTCAATCGCAATTTCCGCACACCAAATCGATGTCTCTCTAGGGAACTTGATAGACACATAATCTTGCCACAAAACCGCAATTTTCCCACCATAATCCACCAAGTAGTTAGCGCTTTTATTGCAAAGAGAATTACACAAACTTTCCAAACCCTTTAGAATTTTCCATGATCTTTTTTGGGAGTCAAACCAATATATCGTCGTACCAAAATTATGGTAAAACACGTTCTCTATCACACAATAAGATGATGAGCGACCCCATCCATAATTCATAGCATAATCTACCTTTCTCCATCTACCTTTATGCAGCTTGTAAGTTACATTCTTTTTCTCGGACCTCACATACAAGGTTCCTTCATACCATACGCTTTCTAACTGAGAGGCTCTGCATAGCTCCTTGCCAGGGATCTGTAAATACTCCCACGTTCGGGTGTTTGTATCAAAAACACCCATCCAATTCGTTGAATCAAGATTTTCGTTCGCTCCCGTTACATATATTTTCCCATCAAAGGCGCAAACAGAATGGAATTCATGGGCCACATGCATGCTTGGGGCCTCACACCATGTGTGAGAACGACAGTCCATGGCCATGACGTTAGACGAAGCCTTACTTGACATGTTATGTTCCAATCCGCCGATGGAGTAGATATTAGGACCAACCGCCACAACTTTTGACCATCGTGCAGATGGAAAATAAGGAGATGAAATCGGGACCAAAATCCTTTTTGAACTATTTGGTCTCCGGCTGAGAGTGAACCAACGTTGTGGGTTAGAGTTGGAAGGGGAAGCGTGCCGTAAGAACACATAAAGGCAACTCTCGGTGCGGCCTAAGAGGGTCCGGGTCTGGTAAACCTCCTTTGAAGAAAGGAGAGAACGGAATTTCTTAGAGACCAAGGAGAGAGTTGGGTAGTACAATCTTGAGACGCGGGCTAAGCAGTTTAATAACACATCATCAGGAAGCATCAGAATTGTCATCCGTCTTCTTTTAGAAGGTGGCTCTTCTTCATTCATTGCTGTGGAAGTGCACAATAGCGCTTGTTGTAGATCACCGCTTTTGCCTTTTGCGCTCTTAGGGTTTATAAGGTTGCTTTTCCTGTAAGTAACTCCCCCTCTTCCTTTCTATTGTATCGCTTGAGCTTCTTTCTGTCTCCACCAATCTCACCAGAAGTTTTTATATAGTGAATTATAATTCCTAATCTCATTAGGTTAGGAAATCTAACTTCTTTAAAAAGAAAAAGGAAACTAATTCACAAACATTAACAAAACTGGAACTCTATATATTTTAGATAAGACTATTGTTAGTTCCTATCTCCTCTTCTTCTTGACGGTGGTTCTTCCTTCGTCGTCAATTTAAATCTGTAAGATTTCAGCTTGCTCTACAAAAATTCAAAGAATATCCAAAAAAATTATAAAACAAATTAATACAAAATCTTTCAAGAATGGCCTCGTAGATAAATAGATTATAAAACAAAAAAAAAACAAGTTTGTTGTAGTAATGTTACATGCAAAACAAAAACCGAAAGTAGAACAACAACTCAATAATGTTTATATACAAATCTCAAAGCTAAATTCGCTCTTGAGAAGAAACGCAAAACGCAAACCAGTTCTGTTTCTGATTTAAAACTACACCTCCAATAACACAAAGTATCATCCATTATCCAACCTCAGGGCAGACACATAACATATATCCAAACTCCAAAATCTTTAATCGTCTTTGAATTCTTTAGTCGGGCGTGCTTCGAATCCTCCATCTTCTCTTTTCTCGAGGGAATAAGGCATGTAAGTTCCCAGAATCCGATCCCACATAACAAAGAAAGGCTGAGAGAAATTGTATTTGGTTCCATACAGCTGATGATGGATATCGTGGTAAGCAGAGTTGTTCTTGAAGACCATATGGAATAAGTTTCCAGGAAGCCAGAGACCGCAATGGTCGTCCACAGTCTTGATTGTGGCGAAAGAGAAGAAGAAGATGGAAGTTCTTGGAGACATACCAGAGACTAGGAAAGATAAGGCGCCTCCAACAGTATCCAAGAGAAGACCTTCCACTGGGTGGTTGTATAACGCTCCATATGCATAAGGGACGATAAGACGGTGGTGTTGAGAGTGGATATGTTTGTATAAGAACTTGTTGTGATGCATATATCGATGCATGAAGTACTGCCATGTGTCGAGGACTATCATGGCCGTCACAAACTGTCTGGCTAAGACCAACAGGGAAAACTGTTGCGCTTTGTCTGCTTCGGCATCACTTCCTGTCACCTGTGTAGGCAATGGAGAAGCATATTTGTAAGACGGTTAAAAACAAAAACCAGTACAAACAGAAGAAAAGAAGATATTCCATGATATTGATTGATCAATCTATCAGAGGCATGTCTACATTACAAGTACTCAGGATCAGACGAATGCAAACCAAGAACCCATGATGCCGCTTCACGGAATATAACAACATTCCGGACATACGTCACCTAACAAAAAGACTTTATTTAAGCTGAAAGATCATAATTAGCAAGGTTTTCTATTATTACTCAGCTGTTTGTTGGTTAACTGAAGTTTTCTCATCAGATAAGAACCAGAAACGATATCTTCATTTACACAAGTGAGGAACAGAGGACCAACAGCGCCTAAGATAGACTCCTCTGGTGAGCAACCTAAGCTCTCCCAAGTCCCAACCCAATTGCCAAATCACTGATCTCTTCAATCCCTATTGACACTCAAGCTTTCTCTAAAACTCTTAACTATTTTTCTAACACTAATATACTGATTTAACGGTCATGAAAGATTGAGAATCATTCCACTATTAGTGATATAAAAGGATCCAACTTGATGAAAAAACCTTTCTTTCAGCTATTTAACTTTAGAATTTGGTCAAAAACATGCCAATATCAGATCATTAATGCAGAACCCATTTCTCTTTATGGGTGGAAAAACTACATCAACAAGAAAAGAGTCAACCTTTTTATAACAAAAATCTTCATCATCCAATTCCACATATAAAACGTCAGCATCAGATTATCAAATTTTCCCCAATTTGTTACCCAACTTTTCACAAAAGCAAAAAACTCAAAAATGGAAAAAAGAGAAAAACTTTACCGTGAACAAAAGGATAGCGACAACAGCTTGAACAACCTGTTGAACAAGAACACCTTTCACAACGGAAGATTTCGATACAAGATTCTTCTCTTCTTCTTCAACCTTTGAATGTAATCTATAACTCTCCAAAGACGAGAGCGCTACATAAATCCCAGAATACAACCAATACACCACAATCGGAGCAACAGTTCCCAACAATTCATCCGATACAGCAAAACCCATCATTCCTAAATCTCAGCTTCTTCAGATCCTCTTCATCAACCAAAACGCAATTGATGCAAAAAGGAAAGATTTTTTCACAGGAATCAACAGAGAAAACTGCTAAAGGTTTGATTTTATTCTTCAATTGAGGAACTTTGATTATTGAATCGATGATTGGGGATTGTTTTAGGGTTTGGGCGTTGTTGAGTTTGACAAATCAACGATGAAGAAGAAACAAAACAAAGAACGATACTTGCGTTTTGGCCTAAGACAGACGTGGCTGAACTGTACTCATTGAAAGAAATTAAATTAAAATATCTAATTATCTAGTGTGGTTAGATCTACAGTGAGTCTATCTACGTGGCGAAATTTGGAGCGTGTATAACTTTTGATGCGATTATTACGGTTGATTCGGTAAGAAATATCTCGTTAACGTGTTACTTACTGTGTTTGATTATTACTGTTAGCGATGGCGTGATTGGTTGGTTTTGTTCCTCGTTTTAGTTTCATGTCGTCTGTGAAATGACGCCGTAAGTTTAAAACATTTGAATGATGAATGTAAAATTCAACTTTTCTAGCTTTCATAATTAATGAAATTAATCAAAAACTTTCCAATTTTTAAATTTGTTTTTCGATATCCGCAGTTTTTTTTTTAAAATCGATAATACTATTTGAATGAAGAAAATCTCGTCTTTTATATTTAGCAATCTATAACGATCTATGAAAGATAAATGGTTAAGATTTAAAAATGATAGATAACTAAAGATGATGATAAATTGATAAGAAAGTTGTAACCGTATGTAAGAGATGACCAAAACCCGAATTAGATTGTTCTTGAAACATTATCCCACAAAAAAAACCGCTAATAATTGCGACGAATATATATGAAAATGAATATAATCCAAAAACCCGATAGATACCAATAAGAATGAATATGTCAGGATATTTTATTTTTACTATACTGAATCTATGCGGTTCTAGAGTTTTTACCTTGGAACAAAATGTTTTGGAAAAATCATAGGAGTTTCTTCAAAAACAGAATCCAAACCAAGTACTTTCTAGTTACGATGATTGATAACCCTTGCCAATAAAACTTTTCTACTTCAAATTTACTTTGAGTGAGGTTCCAACCATTCCATTTACTCCCTTTGGACATTCGTCTCGAGTTTAGTTTTACTTTGGCCTTGTTTCTATTCGTCCCGTAGCTACTAGCTAGGATCCAATTGACTCAACACTCATTTTTCGAGAAAAAAAGATAAAAACCTTTGCTAAGAAACACTGGAAAATAGATTGGGATTAACGGCGTCGTTTTACAGACGACATGAAACAAATTAATAGAATCCAGACGAGAACATGAATGAAAAATTAAAAACAGGTCCTAGACATAGCATTGTGTCTTAATACTCTAGACATAGTAGAAGAATAACAGATAGCTGATAATATTATTCTAAATTAAAAGTAAACAAAAAAATAGTTTAGAGAATGGTAGAGTATTTGGTGGCAGAAACAACTTTAAATTCGGCTTCAACATTCAACGTGTCTTGTTTGTCCAAGTAAGTCTTCCGAATTTCAGCTAAAGAATACTCCCTCTGTTTTTTAAAAGTTGTCGTTTTAACTGTATTTAGACAAATTAAGAAAATGTATACAATGACTATATTAACCTCATAAAAATGACAAGTAATTATTTACAAATAATTTGTGTTTAATTAAATGAGGGTAATTTGGGTAGTTATTGGCATAAGTTACATTATTACTTTAAAACGACAACTAATTTAAAACAAAAAAAATGCTCTAAAACGACAACTATTCGAAAACGGAGGGAGTAAAAGTTATACCAACCCCAACCAAAGTCTGATTCCTTGTGCCACTTGTTCACTGCAAGAAAATAAAATGTGAAACATAGTTACAATGAGAGTAATTAATATTTCAGTTTGTATATATAGAAAGATTATAATTAAACTATTAAGATAATTAAGATAATAATGCAACTGTCTTTTTGTAATTACATTGGGCTGTCACGTGATTGGATCCAAGCGGGTTTAGAACTCGCACATGTACTTGCGTGAAAATCTTCTCATCTGGTTTTAGTGTTTCACTATCAGCTAAATAAAGATAAACGGATAAAAATTTGCCATTTGCTCTAGAGTTTCCCCTCGGATACAGCTCTAGAAACCTACAAAAGATTAAATATTACGAACATTCATACACATATGTCTATAGAGATACAATTTTTATATAGATATACTCACCATTCCCTTCCTCCTATTGAGAATCTTTTTGATGTGTAAAACTCATTTTCTTTCAACTGAGAAAAGTTCTTAACACTCCAAGAGAACTTGGGATAAGAGAGTTTCTCATCAAAAGAGAGGATTTCCCAATTGGTAAGAGGTGAAGAAACAATGACATCAACACCAAACTCACATTCATCTCCCTCGAAGATGTATCCATTTTCGATGTTAATGAATGTATCACATGGAAGAATTTTTCGCAATCCCCACGCCATTTTAAGTGCACTGAACCGCTTTATCTTAACATCTAAAAAATATATAAAATACATCCATGACTGATTTTAGAATGTGAATTTAGAGAAAGAGAAGCATGAGATGTATATATATATAGTTCACCTTTAGTAAAGTACTTGTTTTGTTTCTTGTTGTAGACAAAGAAGCGGAGTTCCGCAAACACTTCAGTTGTTGTGGATTCTGTCAAGCTTGTGCTGTCTAATTCCACGTACATAGAAATAAACCCACTTCCATTGTCCTTTCCGTTACCTTTCGGATATATGATCAATCTCCTGTTTTTATAAAAAAAACATATATTGCATTAGCTAGATAAGATATAATGATTAGTGCTAAACCATGAAAAATACAATCAATACCAGTTATATCCACCAGAAGAGAAAAGACGAGATTGGTATTTATGATCAGAGAAGGCAGTAGAATTCTCAAGTTGTGAGAAGTTGTGAATCTTGAGAGAATAAGAAGAAGGAGGATGATCTCTCCAGTTTTTCTTGATTGTAGAAGAAACTGGTTTTGAGCATGATGCACCCATTTTATTCGTTTCAACACGGTGCAAGTCTTAAAACTATGATTGAATAATATATAAAGAGGATTCTTGGTGTGTCAAGATAAATATTAGGGTTTTCTAAAAACTATGGTTTAACAAAAAAAAAAATACATTTTATAGGGATAGAGGAAAATAAAGAGAGAGAGACGTCTCAATACTTGAAAACGCATCAGATTATTTATCTTTTTGTTAAGATACACCAGATTTGGTATAAGTATTTTATTTCTTTTAGAAGATTTTCTTGGTAAAGTACATATCTCTTTTAGATAATTTTACACCAGATTCATCAGTTGTGAATAACCCATTTTTTCTCTAAGAAGATTTTGATAAATTTTGTAATCTTAACCTTTAATATTATCAATCCAAAAAACGTAAAACGTGAGAAAAAACTACGATCAGTAATGAAAATAGTACTACATTATTATATAAAAGTATACATCGTAGATGGCAAAAACAATGCATATATTCATGTTCAGTTTGAAAGATTAAACAGTGTGTGGTACTTGAGTGGCTTAACTGGAGGATGCATGTGTGGTGCTTGAGTGGCTTAAGTCTTAACTGGAGAAATTATAAGAGAAGAGAAGTGATCTTTTGGCTATTTATGTATAATCAAAATGTTTGGAGTAAACTTAGAGCATATCAGTATGGAAGCAACAAAAGTCCTTCTAGTAAAAAACGAAGAAACAAAATATACAACATATTTTCTTATATAAGCAAATTTATGGAAAACTAGAGAACTCAAATTATAACAAATTGGTCCAGGACATATAGCATTGTGTCGTAGTACTATAGTAGAAGAATGGTAGATGATTGATATTCTAAAAGTAGAAAATAGAGGTTAGATAATGGGAGAATATTTGGTTGCAGAAACAACTTTGAATTCGATTTCAACAGTCAACGCATCTTCTTTGTCCAAGTAAGTCTTCCGAAGATCAGCTAAAGACATAAACTGATCCCAACCCCAAGCCCTGCTTGATTCCTTGTGCCAGCGGCTCGCTGCAAGAAAGTAAAATGCGAAACATGGTTAGTGAGAAACACAACTCCAAATGAATATCTCGATATAAATATTAGAATACTTAATGTTTTAGAAAGTACATTGTTTTTCGACGTGACTGGATCCAAGCGGGTCAAGAACTCGCACATGTCCTTGCTTGAAAATCTTCTCATCTGGCTTTAGTGTTTCACTATCAGCTAAATGCAGATAAAGGGATAAATATTTGCAATCTGCGATAGAGTAACCCTTTGGATACAGCTTTAGAACCCTACAAAACATTTAAGTATGGACATGTTAACATTCACATACATGTTTATATATAGATACATACTTGTTAGTCCATAAACAAAATTTTGCAAAATTATATATACTACTCACCATTCCTTGCCTCCCATGGAAAATTTGTTTGATGTGTAAACATCTTCTTTCAAGTCAGAAAAATTCTTAACAGTCCAAGAGAATTTGGGATGAGAGAGTTTGTCATCAAAAGAGAGGATTTCCCAACTAGTAAGGGGTGGAGCAACAAGGACATCAACACCAAACTCACATTCACCTCCCTCGAAGATGTATCCATTTTCAGGGTTAATGAATGTATCATATGGAAGAACTTGGAACAATCCCCACACCATTCTAAGTGCATTGAACCGCTTTACTTCTACATCTGCATATATAAATATCAATCACTTAATAAATATCGCCATTATTAATTTGGTTCTAATTTTAAAGAAAGAACATGAGATGTATACTTCACCTTGAATAGTAAAATACTTGTTTTCTTTCTTGTTGTATACAAAGAAACGAAGTTCAGCAAACACTTGAGTTTGTGGTATGGATTCCATCAAGCTTGTGTTGTCTAATTCCACGTACATCGAAATAAAGCCACTCCCATTGTCCTTTACGTTCCCTTTCGGATAAAGGATCAATCTCCTGTTTTTATATACAACATATGACATTAGCTAGATCCTAGATAAGATATTTTGGGCCTTATACATGGTGCGTAACGATAAATCCTTACCAGTTATATCCACCAGAGGAGAAAAGACGAGACTGGTATTTATGATCAGAGGAGGCAGTGGAGTTCTCAAGTTGGGAGAAGTTTTGAATCTTGAGGGAATAAGAAGATGGAGGATGCTCTCTCCAGTTCTCCACAATTCTAGAAACTGCTGGCGAGCATGAACCCATTTTACTCAATGACTTCTAACCCTAAAAACAATGAACAAGATATGTATGTATTTTGCCCAAAAAAAAAGATATGTATTTATATATATAATCTTTTTTTTTTTGGTAAAATATATATAGAAGAATCTTGGAGTTTAGGGTATTCAAGATAAAACATTAAATAGTGTTTTCTTTTTACAAAACGATATTTTTACGCTAAATAGCGGTAAAGTTTTCGGTCTGTATTATCCCTCTCCAAGAAATCACGCTCAATGAGCGATTCAATTCTCTTCTTTATCTCTGTTGGGTTTGCCAAGAACCGCGACTGCAACTGTTTGGTGACCTCTGCGATAATGTTGTTGTGATCCAACACTCGTCTTGCCTTCATGATCCTCACGATAGCTGCTTCGATCTGAGGTTTTCTGTCTTCTTCTACTCTCTGTCTTGTCTCTTGCTTCTCAGGTTCTGTCTACTTTTGTGCCACCACAGTTCCTATCTTCACTTTGTAGAACTTGCTTGCGAACCTGTCGTTCACAACGAATGAGTCCTCCTCTGCTATCTCCTTGCTCATTGGTTGTTCTTTTCTTAGCACGTTTTTACCTTTTACACACGCCATTGACTGCAAGCAACGCTTTAGGTCTGAGGTGGGGATTTCAGTTGCCTGTTCGATCTCTTTGTAGCTTAGTCGATCAGAGTTGTTGAACAACATAAGGACACACATTTGGAAAGTCGAAACGTTTAGTTCATGCTTCTGACCCTTTCCAAACACTGCTTTGATATCTGCTGTTCCCATATTGGTTTGCCAAGATAATCTCCTGCCGGTGTGAGTCCCGAGGTAATATGACCTGAACTTCTCACACAGAACAGAAACTTCTGCAGGTAGGTTACACTGTATGGTTGGCTGTGTGGGCCAAGAACCGGTTGTGAGAACCTGAACGACAAGTGTTGGTCCTTCTGAAAGCTCGGGATGGCTATTATAAAATCCTAGCAGCGTGTCGTGTGAGGTCTTCATGTCAGTGAACATACCTTCCAGTTTCGAAGTGAACTGGTACCCACATTCTGTCTTCAGTTTCACTATCAGATTCCTCTCAGCATCATCCGACACAGTTTTTCCAGATAAAAGCCTTTTCGCCAGATGCTGTTTGTAGTAATTCTCAAAAACGTCTTTCTCGTGTAAATAGCGAAACAACATCATCACCTTATCAAGAATAAGATCCACATCCTCCTCCCCCACACCTTTTAGTCCTTTTCGTAGTTTATCATCAACAAACAGGGAGATAAACTCAGGAGAACGGGTGTTCAAATTAAGGAAATACTCAAACGAAGAATTCAGCGCATTCTGGAACGTCTTATCGTTGTTGAATGCCATGTTGATAATTTTGTCATACTTATCCCGCTCATCTAATAGACGCTGCACAAATTCAACGGGATCCTTTGATTTCTCTGGATCAGTAACCAGCTGTTTTCCCATCTCCCTAAGATGCAAAGTCATAACATCTCTAACCGTAACAAGACCATTGGCAACCCTGCGGAACAAACTGTACATTCTACCCATATCCTCATACTTATCATTCAAAAGCATATTAACCAAACCTGAATTCTCCATATGAACTAGTCTCTGCACGTGGTTAGCAATCATCTCTCTTTCAACCACACTAGTAATCTTCGCTTCGCTCTTGGCATCCAAATAGTGAGCAACCCTTTCGACTTCTTCCACTAAAGGCTTCTCCGCTTTCTTCAAATAATCACCACAATCACAAGACTCAATACACCCCTGCGACTCAACCTTGTAAAACTCAGCAGAAGCTTCCAAAAACGGCTTCTCGAAATCCTCCTGATACACAGATTCACCCAAATCCATAAACATCTTAATCACATTCCTCATCAACAACCTATCTATAACTTCACCGGTCCGTTCCTTATGAACTAAATCAAGAAGCGTATTCAAAAGCCTAGTCTGAATCTTACTCGAATACACAACATTATCTCTCCACAAATGAAGTCCAAGCTCATGAACATGAGTTTTCTTAGTACTAGAAACGTAAGTCCGATCCAAATACATTACAATATCCCTAATCATTTGCAAAGCTTTGTTGTGATCATTCCATTTCCTATTAATCAATTCTAAGAAAGCACCTCCCTGAGCTTCTTCAATAGACTTACATATCTCTTTGAGATGAAATGTGATAGTGGTAACAAGTCCATTATAAAGCTTATCACCATACTTATGTAGAACCATGTTGTATGCGTTTCTGAAAGAAGCAACACAAAGTTTAGTAGAAGAACAACAAGAGATGAATCAAAGTGAATCTATGGAAGTACTCTTCGAAACTGAGACCACTAGCGTTGTGATTGTAAATCTCATGAATCGCATGTTCGAGAATCTTCCAAGTTATATCGGCGTATTTTGGATCAACGACGACTCGTTGCTTAAACGCTTCAATCTGGAAATTTCTCTTTTTCTGATTACTCATGTTGAAAAAAAAACTGAAATTGAAAACCAAAAAACGAGAGAGATCACAAAGAATCGATTAGACATTAGCTCAATGGAGGAATCAGAAATCGGAGGTTAGGGTTTGTGATGAAGAATTTGAAGGTTGAAGATGATAGCAATGGAGCGGAAGAAAAAGCTGTCTTTTTTTCTTTATTGTTTTTAAAAAAATTTGTTCTTACTATTATCCCAGTGGTTTTGATTACCTCTCTTGTTACTTCATCTCTTTGGTTCGATTCGTTTATCAAACAGAAACGTAGGATAATAAAAGAAGTTAATGGGCTTTTAAGCTATATTGGGCCAGAATAAGGCTTTGTTATTTTGTTAAAACCTGTGATAAATAAACGACGCCGTTTGCTGCTCATTCAAAAGACGTCGTTTCAATGTTATTCTCAGCGTGACCAAATCAAACTCGCAGAGACACAGACAGACATTGAAGAACATTCCTTAAAATCCTTCACTTTTCTCAGTCTGGTAAGTATGTAAAAGCTTTTGATTAGTAGCAGTGTGTCACAATTGGTTCATTTTTATTGGTAATTCGTTTTTTTTTTGGGTTCTCCATCACCTTAAAATCACATGAAACATTGAAATTTGTTTTTTTTTAGATTTTCGATTTTTTGAAGGATACCAAAATTAGGATTAAATTTGAGATTTTTTTTTCCGGTTCTGTTATATCCTCAAACAATTAAAAGTTAAATAAAAGTCTTGCTTCTTCGTCGCGTTATAATTACGCAAACACTTCTTGATAGCGTTAAAAAAAAGCTTCTTTTGATATAAGTAGTCAACTTCAACGTTTGATTTGCTCGCAACTTACAACTTTTTCTGCGTCGCAGTTTATAGCAAATTCTCTTCTAAAGTGGTAGCCTTCTCTCTTTAATCCCAATTCGTTTTTGGCAAAGTTTAGTTTTTTTTCAAGTTGTAATCTTTTCGACGATTTTGTTTTTGAATGTAGCAAAACATGTCTGTTGAGTTGTGTTCGGTGAGACCTTTATTTGGTGGCGCAATTTCCACCGTCTTCCCTCAAAGATTTCAGGTTCTGTCAATAACCCTTCTCTGTTTTTGCCGCTGCTAATTAAATTCACAGTTTCCTGATTTTTTAACGTAAAAATCTTCAGGATGTGAGTGATATCAGACAAGTTCCTGATCATCAGGTTTGGTTCTTTCTTTTGTTCAAGGATTTTGCATAGTTTCTAATTAAGATGTGTAAAAAGAATCTTTAATTGTTGTTGTTTGATTGTTGGTTTTGTAGGAAGTGTTTGTGGATCCTTCAAGAGATGAGAGTTTGATTTTTGAGTTGTTGGATTTCAAGACTGAGGTTGGTGACATTGGCAGTGCTTCTTGGTTCCTCAACGATCTTGCGCGTGAGCAAGATGCTGAAGGATTTCAGGTAACCACTACACTAGAACTCTTCTTGAGTTTTGTAAGACAAGTCAATTTCAAGAATTAGTGTTATTTCTCTAGCGTAGAGCCTGCTTCTTGTGATTCTAAGATCGAACGACTACAAATTGTTCGAACGTAGAGCTTAACATGTATAGATTTCTCAAAGTTAGACCCTTTTGTTTTCTGAGATAGCAATAATATGGGACATCTGTTTTTATAACTCGTTGGAGGGATTTTTTTTATCGTTGATTCAGTTTCTGAAACTAGTTGAAATGGAAATAATTTTGATGCAGTTTTTGTTTAGTCTTTTACTAAGATTGATATCTATTATGAAGACAATCTAGTGATGTTGCTTGTGTTATATTCAGTTGCTAGAGCAATCAGAGGTCGTTGAGGCGCCTGGACTGTCGCACAGAAACATCCCTGCCGTTGCGACAACTGCTATTGGAGAGATGGTAATGTCCATACACATGATGTTTTCGGTTTGTTTTCCCATTAGTTTCCTTTCTATTTGTTTTCTCTAACAACGACCATTACAGGCTATATCCAAAGGAAGACAGGGAAGAGAAGCACAAAACCTAGTGAGAGTATGAAGCTTTTCCTTGTTCTGTCTCTTTATTCTTAAAGGTTTTTTTTCCCGAGACACAACTGGTCTTATATGATTGTTTGTTCTGCAGGTATATGTGGCAAATCTTCGTCTTAAGGGAGTTGATACTGATGTCTTAGTGACTGCATATGAACCTATTCTGATAAAGTAAGTCCTAGAAACTTTAACCATGAGTCACTCAGTTATATTTCAAGCAATTGAATATGAATATGCATCGTTTAGATACAGAACTGAGAAATCCAAAGCTTTGTTATTGTTGTTGTTGTTCCACATTCCTTTTCGTCTAATGTGTTTGCGTATTTTGCAGCCCTCTGAGCGAAAGCGCGGATGCTGTGGGATCTGGTTTAGCTGTCCCAGCTTCACAATCTGGAAAAATGCTAATGTGTGATGTCATTAAACAGTCACTCTCTACCTTCAAAGTCAATGACTGGAATCTTTTCGGTTCCTCAGCTTGAGTCTATGCGAAATGAAAAGACGATTCAAGCCTGCCAATTTGGTGTTGCTATGGCTTCATGAAGTTTGCTTTGTTAAGTATTTTTGATTTCTTTTAATTTTAGTTATTCTTTTGATCCTGTTAGGTTTTAGTAGTTGGAACTTTATCAATAGGATCTTATTTCCCTTCTGTAAAGGCACCTTTGGCTTTGAATAAACAGAGTCTCTTCTCACTTTTCCTCCATATGTCCAAAATAAAACGGATCTGTCTTTTCCCCTGTGCTTTGAATGGTTCCCTTTAAACGCTCATCGCTTACTAGATCTTAATTGCAAGACTGCAATCCACTGTTTCGTTTGTTCAAATAAGAGAATGAGTCTTGCTAAACGACCTCGTCAAGCTCTCTGTTTTTGACTACCGCTCTGAAACGTTCCTTGCAGGTTGGTTTTTAACTTTGGTTTTGTACAAAGAGCATTCATTTTCTTTGACAGGTACCTTATCTTATAATTTATGTCCTTCTTCTAGGAAGAGTTGGGTGGAACTGTAGATATGGATGTCAAAGCTAAGTTAGATATAGTACAAGCAGAACTTTTATCTGAGAAAAAGAAAGAGAAGGAGACGAAGTCAGGGTCAAAGAAGAAGAAACAAGGTCACTGAAGGTCTAAATTATGTGTTTGCTTCCCTGACTTTTTGATTACTCAGTTGTAAGAATGAATGTCTGTCATGGACTCATGGTGTAACAGAGAACTTCGACGAGAATCTACAGCAACTTCCTTGTGCACTACAGGATTTATTTTCTGCTTTTGTCTCGGAGCAGATAAAAGAAGAGGGACTCTACAGTTATCTACTGAGCAACTTACTTGCTTCCCTTAACGAAGTTCATTCCATGGTTTGTGACTATTATTATTATTTTACTGAATAGGCTTGATTGGTGTTTTACATGTCATTCAGTTTTTTTTAACTCTATTCAGTCGAGTGATGCTGCTGAGGTACTTGTCGCGATCCTTGAGTTTTGTCATTGCTGGAAAAGTCCAGAAAGAGAAAGCTTGGTGACTCGCCTTTTTAGGTTGGAGGTATATGAAAGAATGAGTTGTAGAAAATGCAGAAGCAAGCCAAATTATCCAGAGCAAAGTTCTTATGGAATTGTGATGGCCGCAGATTCAATCAGAGACCTAAAGATATGTTTCATTTATTTCCCTATTTTTCTCTTTTACAGAAACTGGTACTTAAACTGCTGCCTGTGGTTATTTATATATGCAGTGTTCTCTTGGGAATATAGAGTTTGAGGACATCTTTAAAGTGATCCGCATGAAAGATAAAATGTTGTGTGACATTAAAACAGGATGCTGTGGAAAGGACAACTTTGTTCATCACACTATAAGTAGATGCCTGCCTATCTTCACAATCAGTAAGTTTTGATCATGTGTTCTTTATATACTAATTTCAGTTATTGTGCTAATGATAAACAATGTTGTTGTTTTGTGTGTTTTTAACATTAGTGTTAGAATGGGAGAAGCATGAAACTGAAAAAGAAATATCGGAGACAACAAAGGCTTTGTACTGGGAGATAGATATCAGCAGGCTATACAAAGGCTTAGAAGAACTAAACACTAAGTACCGGTTTATGTCAATGGTAAAATCTGAAACAGGGTCGTCACAATCGTACTGTTCTTCTGTATTATTTGTCTGTTACAGTCTCAGATTTCTGGCATGCAGATTGGTTGTGGTGAAGAAGGAAACTACAATTGCTTAGTGTATAAAAAGAACCGGTGGGTCCGTTTCAGACATGAAACTTTAGCAGAAGAGGTAAGATTGAACTGTTGCCTTTGTATTTCTCGAGTTGAAATGTGAACTTTGATGGGTGAGAGACATTATTGATGTGTGGTGATGCCATAGGTTGTTGGTGACTGGAAGAGTGTGGTCTGATTCTGTGGAGAAAGGAATGTTCGGCCAGAGATTCTGTTTTATGAATCTTTTTAATGGCCTAACAAATGACAAAGTTGTATGAATTTGGAAACCTACCATTCATGTATGAAACAGTAGCAAGTTCCAATTCAAATGCAGTTGTGTTCTTTGTTCTTATATGAAGCTTTAGAGAGAGTTACACAGACAAAGTGGAGTAGAGGAGACTATAGGACAAAGTGGATTAGCATAGCTACGGCAGTACATTTAGAGACGTACAGTAGATCACAAGTTGCATCCAACTTAACAAAACAGCGTCAGGCAGTTTAACAGAAGATTTGTTTTTGCTTGTGTAAATCACTTTGTTGGAATACAAATCAAAGGCCTTCTCATTTTAAGAACTAAAACAGCCTTTTAATTCGACAAAACGATGTTTGTTATCGTGTTCTAAAGCTACTTTCTAGGGACAAAAAAAACAAACAAAAAGTATTGCTACAAGTGCTAATCCGATGCTATTACTCTCTAGGCCTTTTGGCACCAATTCCCAGCCGTCCTTCATTCCCAGTAGCTATTAGTGGCTCTTTCATATCTTGTTCATCTTTACCAAGCCCTTGTCTTTCTTTATACCCCATTTTGCTCAGCATCTTGTGAACCACTTGTCCCATATCTTTCTTGACCCGTGGATACTCTTCTTCCTCTTTGTAGTTTCTTCCCTTCTCTAGTCTCTTTACTTGTCCCATATCTTTCTTGACCCGTGGATACTCTTCCTCTTTGTAGCTTCCCTTCTGCAGTCTCTTTCCACTAGAGAATTCTCGAGGATAGTCGCTTCTTGATACCAAAGATTCTATCTTCTCCCGGGGGTGATCCCGTGTAATAAGAGGATACCCTTCCTCTTTGTAGTTACCCTTCTGCAGTCTCTTTTTACTAGATAATTCTGGAGGATAGTAGCTTCTTGAATCCCAGGGGTGATCCCATGAAAGTACATGTTGTCTTTGACCCGCTTGAGCAAATTCTAACCCTCCACCACCACGTGCACGGACATGTTCATTTTGAAGTGAGAACTGAAACAAAAAATCTGGACCCGGTTCTTCTTCATCTGGTCTTCTCTCAACATCCTTTGGGTTTATCTCCTCTTCCTTACTAGAAGATGTTGCATTTATCTGCTCTTCCTTCCTAGAAGATGATGGTCTCATGAAGCAAGCTTTTGCTTCATGAGAAGCAGAACCACAACTAATACAAAAAGAAACCAGAAGATTTAGAAAAATGAAGATATAAATTTCCAAATTCTCCTAAAAATCAGAACAGAATTGCATCAACACAAATGGAGAAACATAAGAAATGCATAAGACGTCATACTTGTTGCAGTTTGGATGATCACGCTTCCCGTCTTTTCTATAACCTTTATCAAAGGAGGGGTGAAGGAATGCAAGTCTATTTTGAACCCCTTTGAAAGGGTCGTCACACAAAGCTTTAGATCTAAAACGGGAAGACACCACTGAGCATTTTAATGAAGATCCAAGCTTTAAGTCCTCACTGTCCAAACATAAAAACATTAGACACAATCCTCAGGGGCAAGATAAAATCAGAAAAAATGTTTCAACTTACTCTCTAGTCTCATTGTCTCTTGGACTGTCCAGATCTGGAGCAGCAGCAGTAGCACCTTCATAGCCATGGGAACAGGACCTGCGACTGTATTTTACATCTTCTTCTCCATGAGGAGGACCTCTTGGTGGTGATCGTGGACGTACATCTTGCCTTAGGTTAAGGTGAGACAGAGATCACCTCATCAAAAGTTCAACAAAATGATACTGAGAGAAGAACAAATCTACAACATCCTTTATGAAACATTAGAGTGGTCATACATGTGAAAAATATGTGCACACTTTGAAAAAAAATCACAAATTCTTTTGAAAAGATCACATTTAACTTAAGGGTTATTCAGATTTTTCTACACACAACTACTAATTTTCTAGTGAACGATACTTTGTTCTTGTTTTTTAATTGTTTTTCTATTGAACTAATTTATCTAACTTTGTAGAAAAAGAGTGAAATGATGGTTTTCAATTACACGGTGACAACAATGATTCGTAAGGTCGTAAGGAGTTAAAATTAGTTTCCCTACACATTGGTTGAGCCATATCGTTAGACTCAGAAACAATAAATTCTTGATTTTTGCTTTTAATGTTTTATATTTTGTGATTTCTTGGTCGTTCACTTGACCACTAAGTTTACCAATTGTAGATTTTTCTGTCCCTATATTTTAAAATTGGCCATGTAAAAACTAAATACATAACCAACTCGTACAAATTTCGAGAAATCTATATATTTTATATATCATATATCAATAGAGAAGAAAAAATGACGATCTCAATTTTGTTTTACATGCAAAACTCTCTTGGATATGATGAGAAACTCTAAAGACCCAGAAACTGCCATGTTATACAAAGTGATCCTCGTAGCCTCTCCGGTGTACTTGTCGTGACTAGTTCAACTGAAAAAAGCATACATTTATTTATTATAGCAGCGCTCAAACGCATTTCAGATCTTGAATTTATTTGTTTACGTTAGTAGAACAAATTTCAGATCCCAATATTTTTCTCTAATAACAATAGAGCCACCAATCTATTGATGAGTGGTCGATCAACAAATGAGCGGCTTAGATCCATTGTGGCGAACATAGATCTCCCGCCGCGCTTTTTTGGCTCATTTTACTTCTTTTCTTTTTAAGTATTTTTTTTTTTGTAATTTGTTTATTTTGTTCTTCTCGTTATTAATTAAAAAGTATAGCCCTATCAGAATTTCGTACAATTTTGGTTTGATTTTGGTTTTTTCATGGTTTTCTAAAATAAAAATAGTTTGAATATTTATTACGAAATAGTTTTTTTGGTTAAACCACAATAAAGCCATATCACTTAATTAGTTCAAAAAAGAAAATTAAATAAGAAAAGCAGCAAAATCTATGTATATATATTAAACATCTTAAAATTATTATATCAGTTTCTATTTTCCGTTACGTTCCCTTTTGGGTATTATATTCTCATATTTTCTCATTTGTTTTATGCTGTAATAAACAACGTGCTGATAAAAAATTATTTCTTTTCATTATATGCGTCTTATATATGATGAGTAATTGTGTATATGACAACTTAAAGCTTTTTTTTTTTTTTTTTGATAACCCAGTATCCAGACCACACAGTGATCTGACTAGCCCACTGGGCCTAAGCCCGCGTCACAGGGATTTTTAAGCCTCCACTTAAGGGCCCCCTGATAAACTGGTGGTCTGGGGCGCCTGAGCAAGTCCGCAGGTAAATTCCCAGGTGGCCACAGGAGTGAGAGAGCGAAACTGCGTCTGGGGAGGATCGATCCCTGGCCTAGACCAACAGGGCGATCCTTCCAACCAAACGAGAACCACTCGCCCACCACCATGTGGTTAAAGCTATAAATCATGAATACACAATCCATACCACACTATTAGTAGTTATATACACCTCAGTTACTTTTTTGGACCCAAAAAAAAAAAAAATAGTTATATATCTACCAAAGGAGAAGGACCGATATTGGTATTTATGATCAGAGAAGATATATTGTGGAATTCTCAAATTGTGAGAAGTTTGTGAATCTTGAGGGAATAAGAAGAAGTAGGATACCCAACAATTGAACATAATGTCCAAGTCAAAGAACTATAGTTCTGTATTTACAAGATAAAGATTAGTGTATAATTATTAGAACTTACTAGATTTGGACTCACGGCGTTATAACTTAAGTCATTACAGTTTCAGTCAAATAATATTAGTTTATGTGAGAATTGACTTCAATAGTTTACTTTGTGTAGAATTTGGCATGGTCATTTAATTTGTATATATGTATATCGTCAAGTAGTCGTCGTGTAAGAATTGTGATGTTTGATTTTTGAAGTCAGTCAGTTATATTGCATGCAATTGAATGTGAACATGCATTGTTTTGATACAGAACTTGAATATCAAAAGATTGTTGTTGTACGTTGTTCCACATGTCTTTTCCTCTAATGTGTTTGCGTATTGTGCAGCCCTCTGAGCCAAAGTGCGGATGCTGTGGGATATTGATTAGCCATCCCAGCTCCACAATCTGGAATATAATTATGCCAATGTGTGATGTCATTAAACAATTACTCTCCACCTTTAAAGTCAATGACTGGAGTCTTTAGCGGTTCCCCAGCTTGAGTCTATACGAAATGAGAAGACAATTCAAGCCTACCAAGTTGATGTAGCAAGTCTTCTAGAAAATTGCTTTGTTTAAGTTTTGAAGTAATTTGATTTCTTGTAATCTTAGTTATTGTTTTGATCCTATTAGGTTTAGTAGTTGGAACTTTATAAATAGAATCTTATTTCACTTATATACCTTTGGATTTGAATAAAAACACAGAGTTTCTTCTCCTTTTTCCTTGAATCGGTGAACATGTATACGTTCATGTTCTCTAGTTCTTTGACCTATAGATTTTATAATATAACTTGATCACCTCCACTTTTCGTTGTATAGTTGATAACAAATTCATATATAGTTGCTTCGGTGTAATTGGGTTAGACTTAGAATTAAGGTCACATTTAAAAAAAAAACCGAACCAATATAAAATTATTCATGAGATAACGGTCATTACACATGGTTAAGCTTAAACCGAATGAAATTCAGGCCTTTATACTAAACCAACATTTTAAAATCCTGGTTTAGCTCAAACTTGTTGCACATGACAATTATGACGTGTATACAGCTGGAAATTGAATTTTAATTTTTCGAAACGGGTCTGTGTCTTGCATAGGCCTGGGCATTCGGATTTCGGATCGGATTCGGTTCGGATTTATTCGGATTCGGATAATTCGGATAGGAGAGTTTATTATCCGTTCGGATTTTATGACTATTCGGATCGGGTTCGGTTCGGATAGTGTCGGATTCGGATCGGTTTCGGATCGGTTTTTGAGATAGAAAAAACTAAAAAAATGTACAATTTAAATAAAAATTAGTTTAATCTTACTAAAATTTGGCTAAATTTTGCAAAAATATGTATAATTTTAACAAATATAACTAAAAAATTTCTAATATATAAGTTATTTAGAATATTTTTGTTATTTTTTAATAAAATTATAGCTAAATATAACTAATATATTTGGATATATAATTTTATTTTCGGTTTTCGGATATCCTTCGGGTTTTCGGTTCGGATCGGATTCGGTTCGGATAATTCGGATAGGAGAATTCATTATCCGTTCGGGTTTTATGACTAAATGGTTCGGGTTCGGAGTCGGATTTTTCGGAGCGGTTTCGGATCGGTTTTCGGATTTCGGATTTTATGCCCAGGCCTAGTCTTGCAATTCAAATTTTGAATTTTTCTATATAACGGAATAAATTTGGAGTTAAACCGTTTGAAGAAGAAGAATTATCGATATCTCTCTCTGAAATCTCTCATTTTTTAGAAAACCCTAAGTTCTCATTTTCGCAAAAAATGTCACCAGAAGTTTAGACCGGTGCATTTTTCCGGCGATCTTGCTTGGGTCACCGACGATCATGACCTAGAAAAGACGATCTCTCACTTCGGCTAGGATTATTGATCCTGAGGTCAGTTACAATTCTCGAATTTAGGGTTTCGTAGAGGTAATTCCGATGATTATGACTCCGCGATTGATCCTTTTTATGAATTGTGTTTCTCTGTTACTTGATTCGATTAATGTTACTTAATTTGTTTCATCGGTGCGTTAATCTTCAGGCGTTTGATTTGTCTCGATCGATTTTGTTATTTCATTTCAATTCCATCGACGATTTGTGATTTATTTGATTTGGTTTTGATCACGATCGCGAGATTGGAAGATTTGTTTATGGCTTAAGATTTTGTGGATGGTAATCAAAGATAGAGTGGTGTTGTGAATCTTGTGATGCGCTGTGTTTGGTTTAGATTTTGTTCTGCATCACTGTGTTTCCGGTTTGGTTCTGATTCTTTTGCTTTACTTTTTTGATTTTACAGATCGTTTGGGGTCTTCTTTGCCTTTGAAGAAGAAGAAGAAGAAGCTCTTCTTCTCTACCTCGGTAAACATTTTATAATTTTGTTTATCTTTCATCAAATTGGTTGTGATTTTTGCTTCACCATTTCATGTACCTCCGTAAACACAATAAATTTGATTTTTCAATTTTTACTTTGCTCCACCATTTCAATATGATTTTCAGGATTATCTGTCTACTTTTCATAATCTCTTGTGTTTTCTGGAATCTTTGGTTAGTTGATAATGAAGCTTCTAGAAATTATTCTTGGTGGGCGTGGAACTATATAGAAAGCTCACCGTGGAGAGTATGCTTTGTCGAATAAACTTGGTCTAAAGAAACAGAAAAATTAGTGGTGATTATATTCAAGCTGAACTATGTATTTCTCTTTTCTTTTGTGCTAATTAGAGTTTGGAAATATTTACTCATTGTTCTTATTCTTCAGGTGATTTTGTGGTTCTGGTTCATCATAGTTAATCAAGAAAGCCGCTCTTAGATCTGTTACTAAACACAAAGTACGGTTGTCTTAGTTTTTTTCCCAAATATGTTCTCTTCAATCTTTTTTTCCTTCTTGGTCTTTTGATTTGTTCTTCGAGTTTGATGTTCTGTCACGTGTCTTCTGCAGCTGCAAATTCCAGAGCCTATAATGTGGCGTATCTACTCAGAAAACAGAGAATTCGGGACTGATTGTTGGTAATCAATTGAAGAATGCATACACACATACATGCATCATGCATGCATTCATACACACATGCATCGATGCACTCATACATTCATACATTCATGCATCCATGCATTCATACATACATAGATGCATGGATAGTTGCATACTTGCTTCCCTTGCACTTTCATAATTGCTTCTTTTATTACTTTGTCTGATACTCTGTTTACTTATTAACATACTTGCTTGTTTGCTTCCTTTTTTCTTTCTTCATTCCTTGCTTACTACTAATCAACTTCCTTCTTTGGTTACTTGTGGGCTAACTCGATTCCTTATTTTCTTCTTTGACTACGTGTTACGTCTATGCATCATATTTGCTTGTACACATTCATCATTTCTTCTTTGTTTCTTTAATTTGTTATTACTCACTTGCTTCCTTGATTCATTGTCTGATCCTTTTGCTAACTTATTTTCTGCTTTCATTCCTTGTTTGCTTGCTTTCTTCTTTTATTTTTTCATTCCTTGCTTAATTACCAGCTTCATGGTTTGTTTGTTTTCCTTTCTTGCTTCCTTGGTTATTTGCTTACTTGCTTGCTTTTGTATTTTCTTCCTTAATTCCTTGGTCAATTGGCTTCCTTGTTTCATTGCTTACTTGCTTAATCTTTTACATACTGTCTTTTTTCCTTAATTCTTTGGTTAACTTGCTTCCTTGTTTCTTTACTGTCTTTCTTCTTCAACTATTGAACTTGTTTTTGAATTTCTTACTTCCTATCCTTAAATCGCTTGCTATTTGCTCTTTGAATTATCTCAGTTTATTTTCCACTTAAATATGTACTGTGCTTTAATGTTA